GCATCACAGGTGGCACACCCGCGGCATCACAGGTGGCACACCCGCGGCATCACAGGTGGCACACCCGCGGCATCACAGGTGGCACACCTGTGCAGGCGATAGTCAAAGGATTACAGAGGTTTATATAGGGTACATGAACTAAGATATATTATGTAAGGTTAGCAAATAACAATAATTATGAAGTATTTACAAAAAAACAATGACTTGACTGTCATAAGAGGCTTTTCACACAGTAAATGAAGTCACAAACATTATGCTGAAACATGTACAAGGTGTTATAAATATTCTAAGGACTTGTAAATGTACTGGAAAAAAATTAGTGTATAAACATTCAGGAATAAAGGTGAAAATAGAATTGCAATACCGACTACTGTAACCACCTCCATTAATACAGTATTAATGTTTTTACTTATGCAATTATACTACAATGGGCTTGAAATGGACAAAATGTTAAGATTCAGAGTTTCACAAAAATAAATTTAAAAGAAAAAAAAAAAATTTAATCGGCAAAGAATTAATTTTAATAAAAGAAAAAGGAAGCGGGGGGTGCAACAACCCCGTTTTATGGGGGTAAAAAATAGAAAACCTTAGCAAGTAACGAAATTCTAGGCGTAAAGCGCCACTTTTTATAACCATATAAAAATTTTAAACCAAAATTTGTAACTCCCCGGGGGGCCCTTCCCCGGAATTTTTTAAAGCCCCAAAATTAGGTCACACCTGGGGGCGGAAAAGGGAGGCAGGGGGTGGCGGGGGGGGGCGGGGTTTTGGGGAAAAAAGGGGTGTTTGGAAAAAGGGTTCCTTCCCAAGGCTGAGGCACATGGACTTCCCCTCCAGCCCTTTCCCTCCCTGGCGCCCCCTCCAACGCCCCAAACCTCGGGCAAACACTTGCATTTCACACCTTTACAGACGCAAAAAAAAAAAAATTTCCCTAGTTTTTTAGAAAAAAACAAAATTTAAATTTCACAATCCCCTCGGGTTTTTTTCCGTTCCACTCTGCCTGTGTCTGTCTTTTGGGTTTTTCTGTTTTTAAACTCCACCCCTTTGTAACTCCCCCCCCCTCTCCACTTTTTTTCTTATCGGCCATTTTCGTCTTTGTTGACCCAGGCGGGGTGGGAAAGTTTTGGGATGTACTGGTTTTTTTTTTAAATTTGCTTAAAACATTTAGTTTGGGGGGGAAAGGGGGGGTCTAATCCTGGAATGTCCACTATTTTTGAGGCCTTTTTGGGAAAGAGTTCTTGGGGTATGTGTCCAAGGACATTTTCCCCTGGACCTGTGACACGAGTCCTTTGGTGACCTGAAAAAAAGGGTAGGGCCCCAGGGGGATTTTGACATAGCAGGTCCTGCCCTTAGGCATGGTGTCAGGTGAAACCTCATTTTTCCTATTTTCCCTTTCCCTTTTTCCCCCCATCCTTTCTGTGGCTGAAATTTTGAGGGTTTTCTCACAAACCCCTGCTGCCCCGATTCGAGGCCAGGTTTCCCTTTTTTGTAACTGCCAACCCAAGCTATTGCTGCTAGCAGTCTGTAGCTAAGAAGAAAACCTGACCCTTTTCTCTTTCACTTTTCCACTATTTCCCCTCTCTCCCTTCTCTCTCACATGTCGAAATAAATCCCTTGAGGATTCCAGATTCTCCCGTAGCTTTAACGATTCACTTTCCCCGACAAAGCAATTTACAACGAAAATTATTTATATAGAAAACGTTATTTCATACATTACTAATCGAATGATTTTATATAATACATCTGTATAGATGTCATTAGTTTCAAGCGGAGCAGATGTAAATAAATAAAATATCCAATAATAAAAAACTAGTAAAACACAGAAATAAAAATGTGTAAGTATATAACTCTTGAAATTAAAACTAACAAGATTTAACAGTCACAGGTTCAGGAGACGAGGAAGATCAGGAATCCTGCCAGAGTGAATTGTTTTTAAAAGGTTTGTTTCACACCTAAATGTAGTATATCTACCAGCCTACTGCTGTCAGTGTGAAGTGTGCTGTCAGTGTGACGTGTGCTGTCAGTGTGACGTGTGCTGTCAGTGTGACGTGTGCTGTCAGTGTGAAGTGTGCTGTCAGTGTGAAGTGTGCTGTCAGTGTGACGTGTGCTGTCAGTGTGACGTGTTGCTGTCAGTGTGACGTGTGCTGTCAGTTGTGACGTGTGCTGTCAGTGTGAAGTGTGCTGTCAGTGTGACGTGTGCTGTCAGTGTGACGTGTGCTGTCAGTGTGACGTGTGCTGTCAGTGTGACGTGTGCTGTCAGTGTGACGTGTGCTGTCAGTGTGACGTGACTTGTGTATGACTCTACCACCTACCTACGACTTTATTATCCACCTATGCACGACTTGCTCATCCACCTATGAATAGCACATCCATCTGTGTATACTCACTCATCCAGGTATCCCCCTCCAGGTATGTATGATGCGCACATCCAGGTACCCCCCTCCAGGTATGACTCGCACATCCAAGTATCCCCCTCCAGGTATGTATGACTCGCACATCCAGTTATCCCCCTCCAGATATGTATGACTCGCACATCCAGTTATCCCCCTCCAGATATGTATGACTCGCACATCCAGGTATCCCCCTCCAGATATGTTATGACTCGCACATCCAGGTATCCCCCTCCAGATATGTATGACTCGCACATCCAGGTATCCCCCTCCAGGTATGTATGACTCGCACATCCAGGTATCCCCCTCCAGGTATGTATGACTCGCACATCCAGGTATCCCCCTCCAGATATGACTCGCACATCCAGGTATCCCCCTCCAGGTATGTATGATGCGCACATCCAGGTACCCCCCTCCAGGTATGACTCGCACATCCAGGTACCCCCCTCCAGGTATGACTCGCACATCCAGGTATCCCCCTCCAGGTATGTATGACTCGCACATCCAGGTATCCCCCTCCAGGTATGTATGACTCGCACATCCAGGTATCCCCCTCCAGGTATGTATGACTCGCACATCCAGGTATCCCCCTCCAGGTATGTATGACTCGCACATCCAGGTACCCCCCTCCAGGTATGTATGACTCGCACATCCAGGTATCCCCCTCCAGGTATGTATGACTCGCACATCCAGGTACCCCCCTCCAGGTATGTATGACTCGCACATCCAGGTATCCCCCTCCAGGTATGTATGACTCGCACATCCAGGTATCCCCCTCCAGGTATGTATGACTCGCACATCCAGGTACCCCCCTCCAGGTATGTATGACTCGCACATCCAGGTATCCCCTCCAGGTATGTATGACTCGCACAATCCAGGTACCCCCCTCCAGGTATGTATGACTCGCACATCCAGGTATCCCCCTCCTAGGTATGTATGACTCGCACATCCAGGTACCCCCCTCCAGGTATGTATGACTCGCACATCCAGGTATCCCCCTCCAGGTATGTATGACTCACACATCCAGTATCCCCCTCCAGGTATGTATGACTCGCACATCCAGGTATCCCCTCCAGGTATGTATGACTCGCACATCCAGGTACCCCCCTCCAGGTATGTATGACTCGCACATCCAGGTACCCCCCTCCAGGTATGTATGACTCGCACATCCAGGTATCCCCCTCCAGGTATGTATGACTCGCACATCCAGGTACCCCCCTCCAGGTATGTATGACTCGCACATCCAGGTATCTCCCTCCAGGTATGTATGACTCGCACATCCAGGTATCCCCCTCCAGGTATGACTCGCACATCCAGGTATCCCGTCCAGGTAATCCGCTTCATTTCCATACAATAATTACTTTTCGGTTTGTATTAAAATTAAAAACCTTTATACTTTAGTTTTTAATATAAATCTTCAGTTCGGTCACCAGACAGGAAAGTGACATTTTAAAAGTTACAAAAATTAAGTAGTACTTTACTTACCCTTATTTACACATTTGGTTAATTAAGATTTTACACTGAAATCAATATTTTTTTTGATTTATTAACACACCGGCCGTCTCCCACCAAGGCAGGGTGGCGCCGCCGGAAAAAACTTTCACCATCATTCACTCCATCACTGTCTTGCCAGAGTCGTGCTTATACTACAGTCATAACACTGCAACATTAACACCCCGCCAATCTATATATATATATATATATATATATATATAATATATATATATATACCAAAATTACGCACACACAAAATGTGCGTATGTGTAGTCACCTAACTGTGGTTGCAGGGGTCGATTCATAGCTCTTGTATGTGAGAGAGAGAGAGAGAGAGAGAGAGAGGAGAGAGAGGGTGGGGGGGGACTGGGGAGAGTCAAGAGGTACAATACGGAGATCAAAGAGTGCAGTGCTGGAGAGTATGCAGCATGAGTTTGTAGATACAGAAGGGTGGGTGCAAGTAGGAAGAGAAGTCACTGGTGGAATGATGAAGCAAAGAGGGAATAAAAGTTAGCATACAAGAGTGTGTAACAGGAGAACCAACGAGAGTGTGAGTGTGGCTTTGTCAACAGATTTTATCAATAAGAAAAACAATGGAGTGAAGTTAACAAGCTCAGCAAGCCCAGAATATGGCCATCACATTGCCCTTTTTCCATTTAGTCAGTATGATACACGTTTGTAGTGATATTTTTAATACAAATGGTTAATAGTCTGCTAAGTTTATCTTTACAAAACAGTTCATAACTAAGAGAACCATCTTACTAGTGACATGGTTCTCGAACTAATCTGTATAATTAACAATTTCTGCAATTTCTTATCTATCTTGTGTAAAAACAGAGGAAACGAGTGTTAAAAATTATTAATATTTATCACAAACATTAAGCTGACCCGAGTTGCATTAAGTTATGTAAAAAGGACACAAGTGCAACTAATGTAACATTTTATTGCGTCCTTTTTACCTAACATTGTCGGTAATTTTACCAGTATTAATACACGAGTTGCATTACGTAGGCCTATCTTTTTCCTTTATCATATTCCGACATATCTGAAGCACTAATACATGGGGAAGTTGTACATGGTAGGCCTAGGTATGCCAGAGTGACCCAAAACCTACTCCCTGAGATCGGTGGTACCTGATATGCTTACTATAACCAGATTACATTAATGGTTGAAACAGTAAACCCACCGTAAGGATCATACTGTCATCCTATTTGCTACAGGGAAGTGTGTAGGGCTGCAGGTGTAGGGCATACCTGTGGTATTAAGTATGGTGCCATCCTGCCAGGTCCAAGTGTGGGTGTAGGGGTGTAAAGTGCCACCAAGCCAGTAGAGGGTACCTGCAGCGTAGTCAGACAGGGAGAGAAGTCCCGAACCCAGCCACCTCAACACATTCCTGCTGCTCACACTCGCCAGGCTTCCCTGAGACACACATTAACACATCAGTTAACAAACGCTGACCTTGTGATACCTCGCTGAACACTCCTCCTAGCAGCTTTAAGACGATCAGAATTGAGATGAGAGGCGATGCACTGACCTCCATATCTGAGCAGATGTGTGTTGCTGTTGTCCATGTCACCTGTGGGTAGGAAACCAGCAGGTAGCACACATCCCCATGTCGGACCTCACGACCGTCTCCACACCCGCTTCCTGGGAGATGTGCGAAACAAAAATTTTAGCTGAATTATATTGCAAATAAAAAACTGCGTCAAATATGTACGGATCTTACAGTGGGATATGGTGGAGGGGAGCTGACGGTAGGGGGAAAAAAATTGCAAAGAGCCTGTTAATGTGTTAAAGAGGACAGTCAAGTGACATAACTGTCAAAAAAAATTAGTGTTTGCACTGAAGGAAAAATGTTGAAGGGAGAGCAGTCAGAACAAGGTCATCAAGGGATTAACAAATGACGTATGGACAAGTCTCCTCATACCGGGTAGTACAAGTACCTGTGAATTAGTCAAGTGATGTAGGACCCCCAGTTAAAATAAATCATTTGTGTGACCTTGTTGAATTATCCAAAATTAAATAAAAAAAATCAATCCATAATGAACCAAACAGCTGTAAACAATACACAAGCAGAAAAAAAATCTGTAATACTGGAAATGTTCCAGGGACATTTATGGAATTTATATATATATATATATATATAAATATATATATATATATATTAATATATATATATATATAATATATATATATATATAATATATATATATATATATATATATATATAAAATATATATATAAAATATATATATAAAATACATACATACATATATATACACATGGGAGACGGCCAACTTGTTAAAATTATATATATACACACACACACACTCCATTCAATAGATTTGATAATGCTGATCCTAAGTTTTCAGTAATTCATTACTAAAAGTGTACCTAAACTGAAGGGATTTGTTGAATCTAGTTCATTCGTTCTATCGTAGTTTAGGTTATCTTTTGTGGATGTTATATAGCCACTGCAGGATGCAGCCCCACTACACTATCTGCTTTATGTGACCACCCGTTAATATTTCATTTGCAACAGCGGCCTGGTGAGATGCTCGTTCAGGCCGTCCATGACAGTGACACCGTTCATACCAGCACCGTTCATACCAGCACCGTTCATACCAGCACCGTTCATACCAGCACCGTTCATACCAGCACCGTTCATACCAGCACCGTTCATACCAGCACCGTCCATACCAGCACCGTCCATACCAGCACCGTTCATACCAGCACCGTTCATACCAGCACCGTTCATACCAGCACCGTTCATACCAGCACCGTCCATACCAGCACCGATCCATACCAGCACCGTTCTTACAGCACGTTCATACAAGCACCGTTCATACCAGCACCGTTCATACAAGCACCGTTCATACCAGCACCGTCCATAATAGTGACACCGTTCACATCAGTACCTTCCATGACAGTGACACCGTCAAGGTTCAACTCTGCCACTTTGTGGGTTGAGAGAGGGAGAGGTACCAACCAGGATTGTGCTGTGGGGATAGAAAGGTACCAGGGTTGTGTTGTGAGGAGAGAGAGGTGCCAGGGTTGTGATGTGGGGAGAGGTACCAGGGTTGTTGTGGGGAGAGGTACCAGGGTTGTGTTGTGGGGAGAGAGAGGTACCAGGGTTGTATTGTGGCGGAGAGAGAGGTGCCAGGGTTGTGATGTGGCGGGGAGAGAGAGGTACCCGGGTTAGTGTTGGCGGAGAGGAGAGGTACCAGGGTTGTTGTGGGGAGAGATACCAGGGTTTTGTTGTGGGGAGAGGAGGTACCAGGGCCTCGTGTTGTGGGGAGAGAGAGGTACCAGGAGCTGTGCTTGTGGCGGAGAGAGGGTACCAGGGTTGTGTTGTGGCGGAGAGAGAGGAACCAGGGTGTGGTTGAGGGGGGAGGAGAGAGATGTACAGGGTTGTGTTGTGGGGGGTTGAGAGGTACCAGGGTTGTGTTGTGGGGAGAGAGAGAGAGAGGGTTCCCAGGGTTGTGTGTGGGGGGAGAGAGGTACCAGGGTTGTCGTTGTGGCGGGAGAGCGAGAAGGTACCGGGTTGTCTTGTCAGGGAGAGAGGTGCCAGGGTTGTGTTGTGGGGGGAGCGAGATTACCAGGGTAGTTATGTTGTGGGGAGGAAAGGTCTCAGGGTTGTGTTGTGGGGGAGAGTACCAGGGTTGGAGTTTAGTGAGGGGAAAATGAGGGAGTTGTACCAGGGTTGTGTTGTGGGGGACGAGAGGGTTACCAGGGTTTGTGTTGTGGGGAGAGAGTGTACCAGGGTTGTGTTGTGGGGGAGAGAGTTGTACCAGGGTTGTGTTGTGGGGGAGAGAGAGGTACCAGGGTTATGTTGTGGGGAGAGAGAGGTAACCAAGCGTTGTGTTGTCTGCGGAGAGAGGTACCAGGGTTGTGTAGTGGGGGGAGAGAGGAGGAGGTACCAGGGTTATGTTGTGGGGAAGAGAGGGTTACCAGGGATGTGTTGTGGGGAGAGGTACCAGGGTTGTGTTGTGGGAGGGAGAGGTACAGGGTTGTGTTGTGGGGGAGACGGTACCAGGGTTGTGTTGTAGGGGGAAGAGATGGGTACCAGGGTTGTGTAGAGGGGGGAGAGAGGTACAGGGTAGTGTTGTGGAGAGAGAGGTACCGGGATGTGTTTTGGGGGGTGAGAGGTACCAGGGTTGTGTTTGTGGGGAGAGAGAGAGGTACCGGGTTGTGTTTGGGGAGAGCGAGGTACCAGGGTTTAGTTGTGGGGGGAGAGAGGTAACACAGGGTTGTGTGTGGGGAGAGGTACCAGGGTTGTGTAGGATAGGGGAGGAGAGAGATGTACAGGGTTGTGTGCGGGGAGAGCAGGTACCAGGGTTGTTGATGTGAGGGAGAGAGGTTTACCAGGGGATGAGTTGTGGGGAGAGCGGTGTACAGGGTTGTGTAGTGGGGAAGGAGAGATACCAGGGTTGTGTTGTGGAGGAGAGAGTTACAGGGTTGAGATGTGGCGGAGAGAACGGTACAGGGTTGTGTTGTGGGGAGAGAGAGGTACCGGTAGTGATTCTGGGGGGAGAGAGGTTCCAGGGTTGATATGTAGAGAGCGCGAGGTCCCAGGGTGAGTTGTGGGGGGGTAAGCGAAATACCAGGGTTGTGTTGTGGCGGAGAGGAGGTATCAGGGTAGTGTTGTGGGGGAGAGGAGGTACCAGGGTTGTGTTAGAGGGGGGGAGAGAGGTACCAGGGTTGAGTTCTTGGGAGAACGTAGGGAACCAGGGGTTGTGTTGTAGGGGGGAGTGAGGTACCAGGTGTGTAGTGGGGAGAGAGGGAGAGAGATTCCAGGGGTTGGTTGTGGGGGAGGAGAAGGGTACCAGGGTTGTGTTGTGGGGGAGAGAGAGGTACCAGGGTTGTGTTGTTGGGGAGAGCGAGTTGTACCAGGGCTGTGTTGTGGGGGAGAGAGGGTCCCGGGGTTTGTGTTGTGGGGAGAGAGAGGGTACCAGGGTTGTGTTGTGGGGGGGGGGAGAGAGGTCAGGGTATGTTGTGGGGCGAGAGCGGGGAACCGAGGGTTGTGTTGTGGGGGAGGAGAGAGTTGTACCAGGGTTGTAGTTGTGGGGGAGATGAGGTAACCAGGGTTTGTGATTTTTTTGGGGAGCGAGAGGTCCGGGTTGTGTAGTGGGAGAGAGCGAGGTACAGGGTAGTGTTGTGGGGGAGAGAGAGGTACCAGGGTTGTGTTGTGGGGGAAGAGAGGTACCAGGGTTGTGTTGTGGGGAGAGGTACCAGGGTTGTGTTGTGGGGAGAGAGAGGTACCAGGGTTTTGAGTCTGTGGGGAGGGCGGTACCAAAGTTGTGATGTGGGGGAAGAGAGGGAAACCAGGGTAGTGGTTGTGGGGGCAAAGAGATGGGTACCAGGGGTGTGTTGTAGGGGGAGAGGAGAGCGAGGTTACCAGGGTTGTGTTGTGGGGTGAAGAGAGGTACCGAGGTTTTGTTTGTGGGGGAGAGGTACAGGGCTGTGTTGTTGGGTGGGAGATGGTACAAGGGTTGTGTAGAGGGGAGAGGGAGAGAGAGAGGTACCAGGGTTGTGTTGTGGGGAGGAGAGGTACCGGGTTGTGTTGTGGGGACGAGGTACAGGGATGTTTTGTGGGGAGAGAGAGGTACCAGGGTTGTGTTGTGGGGGAGAGGATTAAGGGTCGTGATGTGGGGGAGAGCGAGGACCAGGATTGAGTTGTGGGTGCGGGCGGAAGAGAGAGGTACCAGGGATGTGTTCTGGGGGGCGAGGAGGAACCAGGGTGTGTTGTGGGGAGCGAGGGGGTCAGGGATTTGTAGTGGGGGAGAGAGGTGTAACCAGGGTTGATGTTGTGGGGCGAGAAGATACCAGGTTGTGTTGTGGGGGAGAGAGGTGCCAGGGTTGAGTTGCGGGGGAGAGAGAGGTCCAGGGTTGGATGTGGGGAAGAGAGAGAGGTACCAGGGTTGTGTTGTGGGAGAAGAGAGAGGTCCCAGGGTGAGTTGTGGTTAGTGAGAGGTTACCTGGGAATGTGTTGTTGAGGGAGCGAGGGTGGGTACCAGGGATGTATTGTGGGGGCGAGAGGGGAACAGAGTTTTGTTGTTGGGGAATAAGAGAGAGAATCCCGGGGTTTTGTTGTGGGGGGAGACGTCCAGGGTTGTGTTGTGGCAAGGAGAGAAAGGTACCAGGGATGAGTTGTGGGGAGAGCGAGGGTACCAGGGTGTGTTGTGGGGAGGAGAGAGGTACCAGGGTTGTGAAGTGGGGAGGAGGAGGAGAGAGGAGGTACCAGGGTCTGGTGTTGTGGGGAGAGAAGAAACACCAAGGTTGTGTTGTGGGGGAGAGGAGGTACAGGGTTGTGTTGTGGCGGAAAGGTACCAGGGTTGTGTTGTGGGGAGAGAGAGAGAGAGGTACCAGGGTGTGTTTGGGGAGGAGAGGAAGATACCAGGTAGTGTTGTTGGGGGAGAGAGATACCAGGGATGTGTTGTGGGGGAGAGAGACGTACTAGGGTTGTGTTTGTGGGGGCGAGGAACGGTTGTGTTTGTGGGGGAGCAGACGTTTCCAGGGTTGTGTTGTGGCGGAGAGCAAGGACCAGGGTTGTTGTTGTGGGAGAGAGAAGAGAGAGGGTACCAGGGTTGCGTTGTGGGAAGCGAGGTAACAGGGTTGTGTTGTGGGGAGAGAGAAGAGGAAGAGGA